GAATCCCAGGCCCTGGGGGTAAGAGAGGAGGCACCTGCTAGTTAAAGAGAGTGCTGCCATCCCTCCTTCTCCGCTTTGTTCTCTGGCCTTCATTCCCATCTCCCCAGATCTGCGACTCGGGTGGAGTTCAGCACCCCAGCTACTGCACGTTCAAGAGCCACCAGTGTCTGCAGCACAGCCTCTACAACCAGAAGGTGAGAAGCAGCCCGCACTGCCCTTTACACAGCTGTCTTCTCCATAGCTGGTCCCTCCACAGCCAGCCCCAAATCCCTGCAGGATTCACTGGCCCACTGCTTGCCACTCTGGTAGGGCACACTTGGGTGTATTTCAGGGGTGACAAATCGTGATCTGAGCACAGCTCGTGTGTAATGGAGGTGGTGGGGTTGCACAGATACTGTAAGAGTTGGCAGAGGAGACAGCCACTGATGTTGAGACAGAGGAGCTGTGGGGAGCCTCCCACCCGACGGAGTATTCCTGTATATCCCTGCAGAGGAGGGTCTCCAGGTACTGGGTGCTTCCACGGTGGTAACAAAAGCCAGAAACACCAGAGCAGGACAGACGACTAGCCCATATCTTAGCAAAGACATAGTTCAGCAATCATCCTCTCCCTCCTGCTTCCCAGCTGGTTCTTCCTTCTTCCTTCTGCTGCCTCCATCATCCCAGCCTTCAGATGCTGTCCACCGCGGGTGTGCTCATTCCCTGGAGGAAGGAGGGGCAGTGGTATCAGTCCTATGAACTCAGACTCTCCTTGCAGGTGTCTCACCGCGGCTGCCAGAGAAATGAGACCTACCGGGTGCTGAGTGAGAAGGAGGGAGAGGAGGAGGTGAGGCTGTGGGAGCAGAGGTTCCTCAGCCTCACCAAAGGGTGATGCACGATAGCAGGCGGATGCATGGGAAGCACAGGGCTCCAGCGCCGGCTCTCTGGAGTTGTGGTGAGCCAGAGAGCCCGGACAGACCTGGACAACTCTTCCCAGACCCCTTGCTGACCACCCAGATCATCACGGCCAGATCTCCCCCTCCAAGTACCTGCTCTGCACCATCGGCAGTGGCACACCAGGATGGGTGCCTTGCCCAACAGTGCTTCACTGTGGCCCCTGCTGGAACTCCTCCTGAAAACATTTTCTCCAGCCAAAGGATCAGCTGAGCGTCGGAGAAGGCGTCAGCTCTGGGAACCCGGCTTTAGAGTCACTGGCCCCAGTGTCCATGTCTGAAGTCCCCAGCCATCTCTTGCCTCCCTCCCCCCCACAGGCCTATAACAGCCAGTGGTTCTCCCAAGGATGAGTCTTCTTGTATAAAGAGCCCGTTCACCCCGTAAATCTAATTTGCTCCCTTCTCTCTGCCGCCGCCGCTTTATTACACCCCTCAGTGACACCCTGCACTCCACCGTGGACTTGTCCTCTCCCAGCCCACGGGAGGGAGCAGAGCCAGCTACCCTCCAGGTCCCAAATGCAGCGTCTGAGGAAGGACCTGACGTACACACTTGGTTTCCATTGCAGCTGGTTTATTTCTAAAGTATAAGGGTTTATCAGGCGCCTCCCCGACACCTTCCTGTGCTTCCCGGCGTCCCTCCCCAGCTGTCCCCTCCCCGGCTCCCTCGCAGGCCCCCGGCGCGCTCCCCCTCAGCGGCAGCTGTGCACCTCCACGACGTGCTGGCACTGCTTGCACTTGACGGAGCAGCACCAGTGAAACTTGCAGCTGCACCCCTCCACCAGCTCGGGCGGAACCCCCCGGCCGCAGCACAGGAGCTCGCAGCCATCCATGGCCGGGAATGCCCTGTTGCACTGGCGGCCAGATGTGCCGAAGACCCCGCGCCGGGAGTCCCGGTCGCAGAAGTCTGGGCTGTCCAACAAGTAGACCAGGTCATGAGCTGTGTAGGGCTTGAAGTGAGAGCTCTTGGGGACCAGGAGCTTGCGGGAAATGACCATCACCCCCTCGAACTTTTCCTTGAGGACGTTGCCCACCTTGCGGAAGGGAGGCATGACCTTCCAGCACGTGTGCACCTCGCAGGAGCCCAACACACCGTGGCACCCTGCGTTTCGCTTACGGATGCAGTCCTTGGAGCTGCTGTGCCAAGTGCTTTCTCTCCAGCCACCCTGACAACTGCTCGCCCGCGGTGGTGACGGTTGTGTTGTTCCCTCTCATGTCAGCAGAGTGCCCAGCCCTGGGAAGCGCTCTGTCAGCCACGATCCGTGGTGTGCACATGTGGGTTGCTGCGCCTGGGCCACACGCTTCGATCTCCGTCGTAAGAGCCGGGCACGCGTCCGTGGGTGCGGGTCTCCCTCAAAATCAGCCCTGCCGGGCTCTGGGCACCCCAGTGCTAGTGGCCACACAGCCTCTTTCACCAGCGCCTTTCCTGGGAAGGTTTTAAGGTGCAGAGAGCGGCGCTCGCGGCACACGTGCCGGAGGCAGAGGAAGACCAGCTGGCGCTGCCCTGACTTGCTGGGGCTTCAGGAAGCGGCATGGCTGCCCAGAGACATCAGGTCCATTCCCACCGTGCCCTGAAGCAAGCCGGTGCTGAGATGCTCCCTGGGGAGGCACGGGATGCATCTCCATCCCTGCAGGTGGAGCTGGAACAGGCCTTTCTGCTGCAGAAGAGCACAAAATGCTTGTGGGGTGCCCTCAGGCCAGGGGAAGCCTGGCCGGGCTATGGCCAGCCACCACCGCGTCCCTGGGTGCAGGGGGAAGCTCCCAGGCTGGCTCCCGCTCCTGCTGCTTGCCCCGTCCCCGCGGCCCCAGCTTCTCCCTTTCTTGCGGGGTGCCCGTCTCCTCTCACACCCCACACTGTTACACAGTCCCCTTCTCATTCCGCCGTTGCCGGGGACACCAGGTGTGACTGGGATAGAATCACAGAATCACAGAACAGTAGG